TTCATCGGCGCGAATGGAAAGTTCGTTACCGGACGATAACTATATTCGAATCCATCCTAAGCACCGGGAAGCACGGGCCGCCGCGAACCGTACAAACGATACGGTAACCGTGTCCGCTAACGAGAGGATTTTCACCGGCCACGGGGAAACAGTTACCGACGTTCCTCGGAATTAACCGCGGTAATCGTCGCCGTGGACACCGAGACGAGAGGATTACCCGCCAAAATTTCCATAGTTCTCGCGACTACTCGCTGCCGCGGCTTCCTGCCCGACTTTGCCCAAAACTGTCAGTAACACCGCCCTACTACCTGCGCGAACAATTTCAATTATAATTCCTACGTCGACGAATAATATCCGGAAAACTTGATCGCCGATTTTTCGAGCAAATAGACGTTTCACGATTCCACGCTGACATCGCGCGTTCTCCACGCTGCTAACGACAGAAATTTATAAGGGTTGAATTTCGTAACCGCCACACGATGTTACAAAAATCATCTCCGAATATCTCAATGGAATCAAAAAGATTTTCTTCTAGCAGCTGAACATATTTTGCACCCGTAAGTAATGGCTAAATTGCCTACATTTTCTTCTGTTCGATTTTAATTCAAACTTGAATTCGTCACTACAAATGATCGATTTCCAGAATGAAATTGGTTTTTTATAATAATTTTTCTTTAGATAGTGGATAAGATTTCGAGGGTATGTCTATTCACCAAAAATGATCGTAATTGACCCCCGCAACCGACAATAATTTTTCCAGAACGATTTGAAATTTTTTAATTCTGTCGAAAAATTTCATACCTTCTTGAATTTTTTTCTAGAAAGTGAGTAAGATTTCGGGGGTATGTGTAACGACAAAAAATAATTATAATTAACCCCTCTAGTTAAAAATAATTTTTTTAGAACGATTTGAAATTTTTTAATTTTAGTGACAAATTTGTCCACTTACTGAATTTTTTTCTCGAAACTGGATAGGATTTCGAAGTTATGTCTATTGACCAAAAATGATTGTAATTAACCCCCTTAGTTAAAAATAATTTTTTTAGAACGATTTGTAATTTTTTAATTTTAGTGACAAATTTGTCCACTTACTGAATTTTTTTCTCGAAACTGGATAGGATTTCGAAGGTATGTCTATTGACCAAAAATGATTGTAATTGACCCCTTCAATCAAAAATAATTTTTTTAGTACGATTTGAAAAATTTCTTTTTCTCCGAAAAATTTCAACACCTATTCGATTTTTTTTCTCGGAAATGGGTAGGATTTCGGAGGTATGTCTATTCACCAAAAATGATTGTAATTGACCCCCGCGACCGAAAATAATTTTTCCAGAACTATATGAAATATTTGAATTTAATTGTTAATAACTTTTGAACGAAGACTCCATCAACAAATTGGTATTCTTTATTTTCGTTTTATTTTGACCTCCAGAATCCCGCATTAAAATTTTTCCCAGTAAACACAAAATATGCAAATCGTTAGAATTTACGAGTGAAGACCGAATATTCTACAGTGAAATATCGTTGTTCAATTCGATTATGCAACCCGTAGCCCCACAGTTCCAATAAAAATAATAGGAAAGGCGCAGCTATTCGCGAGGAAACAGCTTCGCGATAAACGAATAACGTATAAAATATTTAGCGGTCCGCCTCGGACGATCTGCTTTCGGATAAATTAAACGATCCCCGCTTAAACCTCGTTTCGTTTCTCCCGCGGTACTGCTTGAACCGTAATCCTATAAACTTGCTACCGGTTCGCGTCGAAAACCAGCGCACGGAAACAGCGAAACAACCCGCGGTGACTCGATCGATTTCATCTTTCGACGTCCGGCGTCGTCTCGTTTCGAATTCAGCTTTTGTTCCGCGGTCCGGGGTTTATTCAATGTCCTTTGTCGTTGCGACACACATTTTTACGGTCACGTAGATTTTTTTGTTATAACTCACCGATGGTTTTCGAATGAAATTTCAATACAGACCCCTCGATCGAGCCTTGATTATTCGGCGCAGTTTCGGTTCCCGGTCGAACCGCGACGGTTAACGCGCGGATCGTAAAAAGGAAAATACGGGAATATTCTGTCTCTGATAGCTATATCGTCGGTTGCTTGAAAAGGATCGGTGGCTCCCGGTTAATTCGAAATATTCAAACTAGCTCCGTCCCCGAAGTAATTTGTCTCGCTCCGTTTTCTGGATCCCCTTTCGCGATGGTCGTTCGCGTGCCCTTTCTTCCATTCTCGGCCCCGGAGTTCCGTTAATTCAAGTCCGAGCAACTCTTTCCGGAGTTCAAAGAGTTGGAAGATTTGTAAGACACGGGCGATCTCCTTTGAAATCCGCCGGTTAAGTTGTTCAACGTCTGTCTTCGAGGACGAGCCAAAGAGAATGTTTCGCTACGACGATACGCTTATTAATAGTTCGCCTTTACTCCGGGGCTCCGTTACAGACATTCTGCTTTCGACTTACGACGCTGAAATATAGATTCTCCGATCGATTCGAAAATACAAAAATTCCCCAGCGGGTTTCTCTTGGGTAGCCTCGTTAAAATGCTACGAAGAAGGTGGTCAGTTCCGAACCTTCAGTCGGAAAAAGATTCCCCTTTTTCTTACTATTGGAATTGCATAAAATTAACAAAATTTCAAATCGTTTTAAAAAAATTATTCTTAACCAGGGGCGTCAATTACAATAATTTTTTGTCGTTACACATACACACGACATTACGATTCCCCTGAAATTTCAAAAAGTTTCAAATCGTTCTGGAAAAATTATTTTTGGTTGTGGGGGTCAATTATAAGCATTCATGGTGAATAGATATACCCTCGAAATCCTACCCACTTGCTAGAAAAAAATTCGAGAATGTGAAATTTTTCGACAAAATTAAAAAGTTTCAAATCGTTTTGGAAAAATTATTTTTGGTTGTGAGGGTCAATTATAAGCATTTTTGGTGAATAGACGTACTCCCGAAATCCTACCCATTTTCTAGAAAAAAATTCGAGAAGGTGTGAAATTTTTCGACAAAATTAAACAATTTGAAATCGTTCTGGAAAAATTATTTTTGGTTGTGGGGGTCAATTATAAGCATTCTTGGTGAATAGATATACTCCCGAAATCCCACCCACTTTCTAGAAAAAAATTCGAGAAGGTGTGAAAATTCGACAAAATTAAAAAACTTCAAATCGTTCTGGAAAAATTATTTTTGGTTGTGAGGGTCAATTATAAGCATTCTTGGTGAATAGATATACTCCCAAAATCCCACCCACTTTCTAGAAAAAAATTCGAGAAGGTGTGAAAATTCGACAAAATTAAAAAACTTCAAATCGTTCTGGAAAAATTATTTTTGGTTGTGGGGGTCAATTATAAGCATTCTTGGTGAATAGATATACCCTCGAAATCCTGCACACTTTCGAGAAAAAAAATTCAATACGAGCGGAACATTAATAAATTTTTTTCTCGAAAGTGAGTAGGATTCCAAGGGTATATCTATTCACCAAAAATGATTGTAATTGATCCTTGTAATTAAAAATAATTTTTTCAGAATGATTTGAAAGTTTTTAATTTCGTCGAAAAATTTTCGAAGTCGGTATGGAACTTTAAACGTTAATTACTTATTAACGAAGCCTCCATCAGCAAATTGATATTCTTGATTTTTGTCTTATTTTGGCCTCTAGAACCTCCCATTGAAATTTTTCCTGAATAGTTTTTGGATTTCGAATAACTTGTTTGCAAGGTATCACCCACGCAGTCGGGCGTCGTTCATAAAAACCGTTGTTCGTTGATCAACAAAAACAGCATAATCAATAGACATTACGCGCTGCAAAAATTCGTAAATATAGTTAAATATATAACAAATACATCCACGAAACCCAGAATAAATCGCTCTTCAATAGACCGCAAAAAAAAAATCACAAACAAACACGTATTTTTTAAGTGGCCTTGCACCCATGCAATTAAAAAATTGCGCATAACCGGTACGGGAGGCGCGATACGAGCGTTTTATCGAGGTACGCGACGGTGGGAGGTCATTTGTCGGAACTTGGAAAAATGCTTGGGCGTTCGAGGGGGGGAAAAAACGCGAGGAATATCAGCGTGGAGCGTACCATTGAGCGTTAACGAGAAGCTAGCCAACCGGCGGTCACGTTGCGAAACATTCAGCGTGGAAATTCGAGCCGATTCGTTTGGACCGGTCGAAGAGTCAATTCGCAGGCTACCGGTCCATTCGTCTAAATATCGCAACTTTTTCACGCGACAGGCCGCCGTCTATTCAGGCTCGAAATATCGAACGAACCGAGACTCGTCGATTCCGTTTTCCGGCTACCCGGCGATCCCTTTGCCAGCCTTTCTCCCTTTGTTGCGCCAAGTACAGCGCCCTTTGTTCTCCGCGGCAATAACCGATTTTCTTCTTTTTCCGCGGGTCTCGCACCGGCCCTGTCATTGGAATATTCGTGATTTGCGAGGGAGTCCAGAAAAAGCTAGGCTCTTTCCTGTACTTAATAATCGACGACTGCCAACTTCCCTTTGCTCCTCTCCCTTCCGTTCCAATGTATATACCACGGGAAACGCGGAATTCGATAAATCCATTCGGGAACCATGAAACGAGACTCCATTGTATTTAAGGGATTGTTTCGATGCACCGTTGCAGCTACGACCGATGTCAGGGATCGTTCGGACCCGGAGTTGCTTCACGGTTCGTTACGGAGAACCTCGTCGATCAACTTTACCGAGGAACAAGCATTTGTTTTCTGGTTAGTTGGACCGAGATCTCTATATTTTCTCATACTTTTTTAATAAAGCTTTTTCCCATTAGATTTCGTATGAGATTCAATTAAGAAACCCTAAAGAGAGGTACTTTTCCTTATCTTAAAAGGTAAAGCCTCTGCTTTGATCTTGGATTCAATTTTGTTGTACTCAGAGGCAAGAAAAGGAAAATTGCTCCTTCCTCTCAAAGATTTCGCGATTTAGCGTTTGGTTGGCTCATCGACGAGTAGAAAATAGAAATTTACGAGACGTACCTCCGTCTTTCAACGAAGACTAATCCAAATTGCACGAAAACGCTCCAATCTGTAACAAAAAATGATGAGAAAATTAATTATCTCGATAAAGCACAATGTACAACGGTGGTGGCCACAAGAAAGAAATCTTTCGGCCAGTGTCGCTGTATCTACTTACCATGTACTTGCGGTACATGAGATCGATGTCTCGCGTGAATTTACGATCTTGGCGTATCGCGAATGCTACGGAGAACCGTACTTGCAAATTCTCCGTTGCGATTTTCGCGCGTCGCGAAAGAAGGTAGTCGCGGAAAATGGTCGCAAAACCGAGACGGAGCCACTTTAATTTCGAGAACGGAGAGAGGAGTCGTCGTAGCGAAGAAAATGTTCCCAATTCCGCTCGTCTCCGCGGGACAAAGGCAAGAAAGGGGAAACGGTGGTGCAGAAGGGATCGCGAACACGACCAAGAAAGAAAGCTCGAGGAAAATTTTAATTTTCCACGGGAAATATGACGGAAACAAAAGGGGGAGCGCGGAGTGACAATTAGCGAAACAACGCGTGCAAGAAATGCCAGAGTCCCGGGAGCGATTCGCCGCTCGTTTACGGAACGCGTGGAAAAGGGGAGTCGGGAAAGAAAAAGGCTCGAGTTTCCTTTGCCGCCGCCCACGCTTTCTTCCGTTACTTCGAACTCCTCCGGTTTCGACTTTGTCGGTTTTCCACCCCGCTCGAGAGGCTGCGCGAATCCTTCTGAAACTTCGGTTTGTTTACCTTGACCCGAACGCGCGATTGTTTGCACCGCGACTCCTGTGTTCCCTCTGCTCGCCATTTCCGTACACGCGTCCCTTGTTTTCCCAACCATCGAGCGATAAGACGCAGATGGAAACGCCAGGAGGATACCCAGACACTGTAATCTCCACCCTCTATCTTATAACAGTCGTTGCTTTTGTCGACATTTATTTATGTTCGACCAACACTCGCGCTGCACGGTATACAGGGTGTCCACGCTAAAACGTGACAGTCGCGATATTTCAATGACTATTGATGATACGAAAAAATCGTTTATATATACATTGCAGGATAAAATGAGATCTCTATTTAGGTGTAAACGAAAATTTTGATTATGTTATTTATTTAGAAGATATGATGTTTCGTTTTTTAAATGGAACTTTACAGGGTGATCAGCCACCCCTGGGATAAATTATAATGGAAGATTCTAGAGGCCAAAATAAGACGAAAATAAAGAATATCAATTTCTTGATTGAGGATTCCTTAAAAAGTTATTAAAAAATTAAATTAAAAAATTTCAAATCATTCTGGAAAAAATATTTTGAGTTCCGGGAGTCGATTATAATCATTTTTGGTCATTACACATACCCCCAAAATCCTACGCACTTTTGAGAAAAAAATTCGGGTAGGTTCTGAAATTTTTCGGTGAGAAAAAATTTTTCATATCGTTCTAAAAAAATTATTTTCGGTTGCAGGGGTCATTTACAATCATTTTTGGTCAACAGACATACCTTCGAAATCCTATCCAGTTTCGAGAAAAAAATTCAGTAAGTGAACTTTGTCGATAAAATTAAAACATTTCAAATCGTTCTAAAAAAATTATTTTTAACTAAGGGGGTTAATTACAATTATTTTTGGTCATTACACATACCCCCGAAATCCTATGCACTTTGGAGAAAAAAATTCCTTACCGAAAATCTAACCTGAGACCTGAAATTATTCCCCGAAATTTCATGCGAATCTTTAAAATGTCATAACTCCTGAACGGATTGAACGATTTTAATGTTTGAAACGGCAAACAACTCGTATTTCGGTGGAGAATATGTAGGAATTCTAAAAATATTCGAAAAGTTGTTCCTCGATTCCGTAAAGTGAGAAAAACCCCATGAAAATGGTCAAATACTCAAACAGTCATAACTTCTACAATAGCAAATATATTTCAATGTAACTTTTTTCTAAAGTTGAGCTCGTGGGTACCTATAAAAAAGTATTAGACAACTTTTCTGTAGGGCGTCAAACAAAATTACTAGAAAAAAGGGTTAGTTGTCTAAATGTTTCGACGAAAAAAAAAATTTCAAATCGCTCTAAAAAAATTATTTTTATCTAGGAGAGTCAATTACAGTCATTTTTTGTGAATAGACATACCCTCGAAATCCTCCGCATTTTCGAGAAAAAAAATTCAATACGGACGGAAGTTTAAATGTTAATAACTTTTTAACGAAGCCTCGATCAACAAATTGGTATTCTTGATTTTCCTCTTATTTTGGCCTCTAGAATCTCCCATTATGTATAGTTCCATTTAAAAACGAAACATCACTATCATATCTTTCAAATTAATAAAATAAACAAAATTTTCGTTTACGCCAAAATCAATATCATGAATAGTTGTTGAAATATCGTGACTGTCATACTTTAGCGTGGACATCTTGTAGAAAATTGCCGCACGAGGAGCATCCGTCTGTACAGAACGAGGCAGCAATCACGGTACGATCGAAAAAGTGGCGATTTTCCGTGGAAAAGCAAAACGAAACTATAAAAGTCCATTCGAGGCTTCGTTCCGGCGAAAATTGGGTTTGAAAACTCGTCGAGTGCAAAGTCTTTCGTAACGCGATTATTATTTAAATTACGCGACATGCCGGAATTGTAGTTTCGAAAGGCTCGAAGGAAAACTGGTTCCTAAAAGGCGTTCAATCTGGCGCGGGCTCGTCGATCCGTGCGATAAAGACGCGTTTATTTTCAATCGATTAAACCGATTCCGGCTGCAATCCGTCGTCGGCGGAGTCGAGACTCGCGTCCGATGGAAATAAAAGTCGTCGAACGGGATGAAATCGAAACAAACTACGCTAATTTTCCGTCCCCCCGGGTCCGGCCACGGCCGTTGAGCACGGTTTTCCGCGGGCACGATACGTCACCGGGTCCGCCATCTCCGTTCCGTGCTCGTACATCAGCCAAGACAGCGGCTGAATTTAACGCAATAGCGAACAGGCAACGATAAACAAAGTAAGAACGATATGCGTGCCCGCGACCAGCTTCATTTCACCGCTTCCAATTTATTTCGAACGATTTTCATCTCGTCCTTTTTATCGCGTCGACGATTAGTCGCGTTTTCGCTTGTCTCGTAAAAATTTCAATTGTTTTTCTTTTTTTGGTCAAATTTCCTCTCGTTTTAAATCGTACGTGCTGTAGGTGACGTATTCGCACCGCTGCCAATTGACCAAGGGCGCAAGATCGAAATTAAATCCACGCGCTCGTTAGTTAAACATCGTAACAATTTTCTATGGCGTGTAAATCGCGAACAGAAACTGTTCCGCGTTGTTTCGTAGCATAATTTCCGCTCGGACAGAATACGGAACCGCAAAGCGCCGGGGAAACGAATTCTGTCACCCGCACGCGCGGAAATTCAATTTCGATGCAATGTTAATTTTTATCCCCGCGCCCCGTTACATCAAAGTTCCATTTTTTGTTTGCCCCGGTGGTGCGCGCGCGCGCGGGGGGGGCGGCGATTTAAATTTTAAATTAGGCAAATGGGAAACACGACGCTAACAAACTCGAAGGACGCAAATAATTATCGCGCCGGATTGCCGCGCCGAGGCGGTCCGAAACCGACGTGAAATAAAAATTTATCATGGTTTCAAGTTAATACCCCCCGAGGTCCGGCAAAAAAATAACCCCCCCTCTCTCTGGGAAAATCTGCTTACCGCGTCTCCAACTTCTTTCAGCCTGTACGCGGCAAGATTAATGTCCAGCCCCGGGAAAATAAAATAAATCGCTTTAATTTGTCAACATCCCTTCCACGCGCGGACGTTTAACCCCGCTTTTGCATGTGTAGTGTCGCGGCCAAAACCCTCTCGATCCACGGTGACTTTTTTCAGCTCGTACATCAGGGGTGGTCCCAACCCTCGCCCCACTATTTTTCGCGTTTACAGGCCGTGCACGTGCTGGCGCGCGTATTTATCGAACAATATAAAAGAACAATGCTCGTGTTGCGCGAGACCGACCGACGGCGAAACATTTCGCGTTTTTCCCCCACCTCTTGCTGTCCACGAATTTGGATTTTGACGATCGTCCCTGTAAATGGTCCTGTCCGAAGCGTGCTTGTAATTTACACTATGAAATATTCCCCATTCCGCGTATAAATAAGTCGAACTCGCGTATTATACGTTCGAGATTAGATTTACGATCATCCCTCCCAGAGGGTGCACGTGTCGTTTTATAATTAGCCAAATTCTGGGATCACTTTGTCGATGGATAAGATTTCAGTCTCGAGAGGGAAATTGCACGAAAGATTGCGGTGAAACATTTCACGCTTTTCCCCCAACTCCCCGCTGTCCACGAATTTTGATGATCGTCCCTGTAATGTTCCTGTCTAAAGCGTGCTTTGAAATTTACACTAATACAATAATTTACACTATGAAATATCCCCCCATTATGCGTACAAATAAGTCAAACTCCCGTATTATACATTCGAGATTAGATTTACGATCACCCTTCCCCGGGAGGGTGCACATGTCGTTTTATAATCAGCCAAATTCTGGGATCACTTTGTCGATTGACAAGATTTCAGTCTCAAGAGGGAAATTGCACGAGAGATCGCGGCAAAACGGACACAATTACAACAATAACGATAATGGTAACGAACGTCCGGCCACAGGGGGTGGAAAAAAAGGGAAAACATCCGACGCAGGTTCGTTCCACGCGTAAGCATTTAATCACACTCCCGCGTACGCAGCGCGTCGTGTCGCGACAAAGCAGCCACCCCCTTCTGCCACCCCCATTTTCGAGCTCGTACATCAGACCGAAGCGTCCCCTTCTTCTACATTTGCAGCGTCAGGTACACACGTGTATCCACGTGCCATCGCATTGAATATGCAATGAGAGAACGCGCCAACCCCCCCGTTTTCCGACCGCAACTTTTACACCCCACCACTTATTCTACGGCCACGCGCGAATCTCGTCACTCGATAATCGCGATATTACGACGATCCAACGAAAGGAACAAGGCGCTAGGCGAGTGTTCTATTGTTTTTGTTCCTAGATTCCAGGCGATACGCGCTCCGACTGAAA